GCCTGCTGGCCCTCTCGCCCGCTCGCTTTCCCTCAACTCGGGGGAAAGGTCAGCAGCGTCCTGGAGCCGCCGTGTCACTCCCCGACAGCCATGAACTGCAGCGAGAGCCAGCGGCTGCGAACCCTCCTGAGCCGCCTGCTGCTCGAGCTGCACCATCGGGGCAACGCCAGCGGCCTGGGCGCCGGCCCCGGCCCGAGCATGGGCATGGGGGTTGTGCCTGATCCCTTCGTGGGCCGCGAGGTGACCAGCGCCAAAGGCGACGACGCCTATCTCTACATCCTGCTCATCATGATCTTCTACGCCTGCCTGGCCGGGGGCCTCATCCTGGCCTACACCCGCTCCCGCAAGCTTGTCGAGGCCAAGGATGAGCCGGCCCAGGCCTGCGCTGAGCACGAATGGGTCCCGGGAGGTGCCCCAGCTGCCGACGCCGAGACTGCCTCGGGCTCCCCGGCCGAGGGCAGCCGCCAGCTCGCCCCCGGGGGGCTGTCTGCCCTCACCCAGGGCGCCGAGAGGGTCTAGAACCACAGCCCCAGCTTGCTGGCTCGCGCCCTCCTCAACTCGCTTAACCCTGGGCGCAGATCCTGCCCTTTCCCCCTTCCAGGAATCGCCTCGCCAGAGGCCCAGGCAATGATGAGAGGCCAGGAGACTTTGTCTGAAAGGCTCTGGAAGGAGAAGCACCACCCTGCCCACCCCTGGCCAGTTTCTCCCTCCTCACCCTCCATGCCTTCACCCCCAGCCCGCACATCCAACTGCACTAAACTGCCTCTGCTCTCTTGTCTTCAGCAGCCCCGACACCACGCTCCAACCCTCTGGGAAATGAATCCAACACGTCCAACACTTGGCACTGAACTGAAGCAACGAAGTTTATCAGAACTCTGGGCCGTCTATCTGGCAGCTGCTCCAAGGGCTGCCAGGGACTGCTCACTCTGCAGAGCCAACAGGCTCGCCACCATTGCCAGGCCACCTGCAGCAGCTCCAACTTCCTGTTGCCTTAGGGACCGAAACAAAGAAAATGAAGAGACCTCAGACATCCTTTCCCTTCTTCTCTCTTTCAGCATGTCGCTAGCAGGACACTAGGACCAGTCTGTGGGATATAATGAACTTAATGGGGACTGAAGGAGGAGGGGGCTCAAGGAGGAGGGGAAAGACCTATGACCCCAATTGTATGGTTTTCTTGCCTCTCCAGGTGTCATCCCAATGGTAACATGCTTGATTTTTAATAATTTTGCCATCTTTTGCCAAGGGTGACCATTACTGGGCGTGTTACTCCAATACTTCCAAACGCCTCTCTGATATTGATTCAGTTGTCATTACAGTATCTGCTTCATCCATGGAACACGAGTCTCAGATGTCCCCTGCTCTGTAACCCTGGGGAATGTCAGAGGCAGGTAATAAAGGTTGTTAAACAATTACCTAAGACTCTTCTCTCAAAGATCCCAGCCTTAAGACCCAGTACCATATAAAGAAGGAATACTTTTTTTTTTTTTGCTTTTGGAAATTATGTTTGGATTTGGGGGTTGGGTTGTTGTGATATTTATACCTATATACCAGTTCCAATCTTATAGGTATGACTGTGCATGAAGAAAAATTTGTATGGCTCAGTGGGGTTTTTCCCCCAAGAGTTTCAAAAGTTATACCTGCTTTATTACTTCTCCCTCCATTTTTCTTAATCCCGAGGCACTGTCAAATATCAAAATGCTAAATAAGAATGTCTCACTTTGCTTTTGCAGGCTTTCAGGATGCAATTTAAAAAAACTCTCAGGCCCATCCCATCACTTTTAGCTGTTATCAAAGCTAATTTTTTAGAAGCCACCTTAGTAACTCAAAAGAGTGGCTTATTAAAGGACAAGAAAGCCACCAAATAGTGTAAATTTTAAATCAGAGGAAAAACATTTAAACTGAGTAATCTTAACCAAAGTTAAAGAGATGTGTGTTCATAGATTTATTCTTCTTGTCTCAAGACAGTTGTTAGAAACTTGCCTACTTAGGACTGAAATGCTTATACTTGATGATGGCCGTTTGGGCTTCATCCAACACACATGAAATCACCTCTTAGAAGTAAGCCAATTTGCTTAAATACAGCTGGTTTCTCAGTAATAGCAGGGTAAAGATACTACCAGTCACTTAAATGCATTGACAATATACAAACCTCATTCAAGGGATTGGTTTTGACCTTTCAATCCAGCTGGTGTTTTACTGGCGCTATTATTAAGTTAAATGCACTTGCTTTCATTCCCAGGATTCACTCCTTCAAACTATACTGGCCTTACCCTATTGGCTTCTCCCCGTCTTAGTTCCAGCCCTAAGGTTGCCCCTTCTTCTTGAAGGTGGGGGCTAGGGATAGGGCAATAGTCCAAGGCAATGACATAAAGGGAAGGGAGCTGTGAGAGCCATCTTAGCCAGGCAAGGAGGCCTGAGGGGGATGTGGGGGAAGGGCATGATATATAGTGATACTGAAGACATCTGGGGGGAGGGAGGACAGTCCCCAGTCTCCTGTGTTATAAATACAACAATGTTGCTCATTTGCCTGGCATAAGAGGGACACAGAGCTATTTTGATGATGAAGCATAATCATTACTTTGGGTGTTGAAACTTTGTAAACGCATTTCTACCATTTTCTCATAGACATGTAAAAGAATATACTGCCAAAAACAAAGTAAAGGGAGCTGGGAGCTACTGGGGCGATGCCCATAATAGGCATTGAGAAGCCAGCTGTGGGAAACAAATCCCATGGCAAAATATTCCTGTTTTAAAAACATTTTATGATGGCTTAGGGTACCCATGAAGAACATGGCGGGAGAGTAGCTGTAGAACCCCCCCCCCCCCCAGAAAGGCAAGTGCAGTGGCCTGGGAAGAGCGACTAACTTTCCTTTCCAATCTTTTTTTTCAAATACTTTCAGTGTTGCAACCGTGTCCCAGATAATGAAATTTTTCAGATGTATGGACACTCAACTTTTTACCAACAAGTGGGAGAGTCGACAGCATTGAAATGATCATATTATGTCAATAAAAAGTAGAGAAAAGAAATATAAGGTGCTTGACCAACCCCCGATTTTTATCATGTATTCTCCAAATAGCACGAGATGACTATACAAACTGAGAAAATGTTAGCTTTGTCTTTAATGTGATTTCAAAGATGCTAAGTAATCTAATAGAGTGATTCTTTTTTCACCCCACCAAGTCTATTTTTCCCCGCTGCATAAGTAGATCCTGTTTCAATTCAGGTTCCAATCTTCGCTCCATAATAATAATGAAGTAGAAGACCCTGGATTTTTTACTTGTAACTTGAGACTTTCAACAAAGTAGGACTAGGAGATGTTTTGAGTTCCGATGTCTGAAAGGGCTCATAGGCAGCATGAAAATAAACGGAAGCTTTTCTTCCATTACCAACGTATTTCTGAGCTGTCGATTTTCCTTTTCTAGAGGGATATAAATGGGGTCTTTCATTTGTTTGTAGTTACCATCTTCTCCTTTTCAATTTGCCATTGCTCTTATAAACCCAAGATCCACACATAACTTGTATCAAAGAGAAAGGGGCCTGGGCTGCTTTCCAAACAATCTTGCCTGGCGGCTAAAGCAAATGCACCATGATGTCATGGAGAGAGCACAGAACCAGAAATCAGAATTGGGGTGTAGTCCTGGCTTTGTCAATTAACAAGCTTTGCTTCTCAGGGTGAGCGGCTTAACTTCTCCATACCCCAGTCTACACAGCTGTGGGGATTTGAGGATCAAGTGAGATAATGTATGGGAAACAGCTAGGAGAAGTATAACCACTCTAGAAGGATATATAACATGTTAACGTCTGTATTTTCCTTTTCCTTCCTTGGGGGAGTGCCTTTGGCAGTTGAACAGGGAAAGTGGGAGGAAGAGAACAATCTCTGCTATATAGAGTTGACTCTTATTGTTCAAAGAAGAGGATTATCGATGCTTAGGCACTAGCACTCAGATTTCTGAGCCTATCTTCCCCATTCTCATAATCTTGGCTGACTATGAAACTGTGCATAACTGTCTTACTATCCTGCTTCACTCCCCTTTACCTGCAGGCCCATGGGTGACAGTAACAATTTATTTATGGGGCTCTACCAGGACTGGAGTCTAAACTTTTGAAAACACACGTTCTCAGGGATTGGTAGAAGGCATAAGAGAAGAGAATGAAGGGCAAGAATCAGAGGTTGTGGTCTTTGTGAGGGAGGCGGGAGGAAGAGCAGTCTAGAATGCTCTGTGAAGGGAAGAGAGCATGGCTGAGGGACAACAAGCATGAATAGTTTAGATTGGTCAGTAGCCAGCCTAGGTGAACTTGAATGACTCCCCAAAAATGACTTGGGAAGAAGAAAGATGGGCAGGCACTTTTCGGCCCTTTTGTTACTTAATACAACCTATAGGCTGTCCAGGAAGACAAATAATGTGGTTAAGGCAACTCTTCTTTTGTGCTAGGCCACATAACATGGGACCAGGTAACCCAATCAGTCCCTATCTGCTGTGTTTTGAGAGAGGGCAGAGTTATAGTTGCAGCTGTGGCCTGTACCTCTTCCCCTGAAGAGACAGTGGCCAGAAAAGACAAGGAAATACCTCAGATACCTTTTTTAAAATTTGTAGTAAAATACACATAATTTAAAATTTACCATCTTAGCTATTTTTCAAATGTGTTTTCAGTAGTGTTAAGTACATTCACATCGTTGTACCATAGTGCTCTTTTAAGGCAGAGAAAAAGGCAAACAGCTAAATTTTTAAATATAGAAGTGGCAGAACTTAATCATTGCTTCAGATGACTCTCCCTCCAAGGGTATTCGCATTTTATAACAGATCATTATGACAAGGTAAAACTCAAGGAAAGAAACTCCATTTGTGGGGCTCAGCGGAATCTGGAAGGAGAGATACCTTGAGATGTCTACATGTGTTGGGAAGGGTACTAATGGGGGTGTGCTCTACTTCCCACAACTTCTTAAGTCCATTCTACTTGTACTGCCAGATGCTCTTGGAACCCTGAGGAGGACTGGGGTAGCCATGAATGAACGGATTGCCGTATGAATTTACTGAGTTGCAAAATACCTGACTCACAAGAGTTTATGAAAAACTTCAGGTCCCTGAAAAGACAAGGGGCTTCCCCTTGGCTCGTTTTAGGATCTAGATGTGATCTGATTGGAGCTGCAACTCCAGTAGGCCTGGTGAGAGAAGAATGGAGAAAAGAGATCTGTTAATTTTGATCCTCTTCTTTTAGGGCCACTCCTCTAGGGGCACTGTGGTCAGGACTGGCTCCTGGCAAAACTATGGGATTGGCATTCATTTCCCCTCCTTCCTGTTCCAAGCTTTCCCATGCCCCTCCAAGTCCAAGTCTTCCAAGACTGTTCCCTCCTTATTGCCAGGATTGAATAATCTTATTTGGTTACATTTAACATACTATTAATCCCAGCAATGATACAAGGAATATATGTCTGATGGTTACTTTCAGACACTGAGTGAGGGAGAAAGATATGAAGAGGGACTTGTCCAGGACACTCAAATCCGATAGGGGTAAGGCTGGCTCTGCCAGTCACAACATTGTGATTAGCTCCCTCAAGGACAGAACTTCAGATTCTTTTTTATCCACTGCGTCTGGGGAAGTTTGGAAGACTACAACCTTCAGCCAGTGGGAGGGCACTTGCATTTCCATGTGAGTCTCCTAGGGTGAGGGAGAAGATGAGATGGAGATGGGAGTAATTGGGATAGGTGGAAAGAGAGAGAAGCCCTTGGCTTATTTCCTAGTTAGCACTCTGTCCATTGGAAGGTTATACCTTAAGCAAACAGGACATTTAACGGAATGGCTAAGGGAAGAAATACCAGGATAGGTGCCCTGAGGACTGTAAGGATGGAATTCTCATCATTTTCCTGCCATCTACCTATAAGTCTGTGTCAAACCAAGGACATAGCCAAATGACAAACTCTGCTTGGAGAAAGCTACTCTGGAATCAGCTGAGTTAGTCTCCATCCTGTGTCCTGAGTAACTGGCATCATCCCTTAGAAGTTTGGACTGTCATTCTAGCAAGTCCATGTGGCTAGTCAGTTCAAGAGCCTCCACCCTTTGACTCTCTCCGTCACCTACTAAAGCAAAAGAGTGTAGTGCATAGGGCATAGGCTCTAGTGCCAAACTGTCTGAGTCTAAATCTATACTCTGTCTTTCATTAACTGAGTGACATTAAGGACGTTACTCGAAGCCTCCAAGCCTCCTGTCCCCATCTGTAAAATGGCTATAATAAATAGTACCTACCTCCCAGGTTGCTGTGAAGATTGAGGATTTAACATAGCATCTGGCCAAGGAGAAGGATTTGGTAATGGCAGCTACCATTCCATGCTTTCCTTTTATATTGACGTCTACTCTCCCCACAACTACCCCCTATTCTCCAGGGCCGTCAGCCTTCTTCAGGCTTCATTTG